TCCGAAGAAGAGATTACGTTGAGCAAATCTTAGAAACATCTTCTCCGAATTTCTCCCCAGGGTTTGCTTCCGAAGGTTTGCCTCCATGATTGGGTATCGCCGCAAGGTAGCGGATGTTTAAAATCAGAATTTTCCTTATCTTACATGGACTATCCTCCCGGGCTGATGAGTTCCATCTACCCAAAGTACCGGACCTAACAGCAAAATTGTCCAAATCGTGTAACAGCAAAATTGTCCAAATCGTGTAACAGCAATTTGTCCAAATCTTGTAACAGCAAAATTGTCCAAATCTTGTAACAGCAAAATTGTCCAATATTAAGTTCTGAACCGTTGCATCTGAGAAATAATTAAAGATATCTTACCAGAGCTCATCGAGGTTTTTATAACACTGGTAATTATTGTATATAAAATACAATTATGGCACAAGGCAGAAAAAAGGGGAGGGTTAAAACTGGTCTTCACTATCTATCTTATACCTAGCTAATCCGATTCACGACCCATTCACTCATTACAATTTGCACATTCACCACAAAAATTCGCCCGTCACCAATCAATCCTCCAGACACCATAATACCACATCTTCTCCAGGGGGACCTATAAAACGCACCCGATGCCATAAAATTTAATGATAATTAATTGTTATATATAAAATTCTAAAGATGAAGAATGAGACGGGAGGGAGATGAACTCAATAAGAAACTAAACATGGACACAAAGTAAACTAAACATAACTGATGTTAGTAGGGCCCGTCCAACCCTAAAAAAGAGGAGGGCGCTGTATTCTGCCCATTGGACACAATCAAGAGGCTCTCTCGATAAGGGAGTGGGAAAGGAGAAAATTATACGGACATTGGAAAGAAAAAAGCTGACCCAGTCAAGATAAAAAGGGGCCAAAACAAACTGGGGAGGTTGGGGATCTCAACTTGGATCATAACCAAAGATGATTTTATAACACTATTGGACTCTCCTCTAAGCAATAAGAATGTATAATTACTCTCCAAGCTAAACAGCAGAATCGTGATGAAATTGATCATAAACGAAAATGACATGTTCATCATTAATTAATTATAGGTAAAGATCGGAAGCTCATGAAGGATTGAAATAAAGTTTATATATATATATATATATATATATATATATATATATATAATTTCGATTATAGGTGCAGTTCAATTTATAATTACATGAATCATTCATACAAAAAACAAATATAGAGGTTTATGATTTAAATGGCGAGAATACATCTTCGCAAACAATTTCAATAAGGTACACTAACCCCGAACCTGTATATGAATGATATGATCCCTGTTTATAAATTCCAGTTTCATAAGGTCTTTTTTCATTTTTTACAAGCTTTCGTCTGTTCCTACAGACATCCTCGGGTATGGAAATAGATTTTGTTCTTGTTTTTTACTTCTCGGTAATAAGAGGACAACGAAAATTTAGATGTAATCCGAAAAAATGCTATGAGAAATGTGTTATTATTTTGGAACGTGCGGTCGCAACGCTGAGTTTGAATTTTAAATTTTAAGGTTGTGCGTTTTTATACAAATATAGTCTTACCGAAAGCTTGTAAAAACTAAAAAAAGACCTTATGAAACTGGAATTTATAAACAGGGATCATATATGCAGGTTCAAGTGACCTTATTGAATTATGTATTCATATACAGGTTCGGGGTGATAGTGTGCCAATTTATTGAAATTGTTTCTAAAGATTTATTCTTGGCTTTAAGGGAAGGTGCCTCAAATTTAAATTTCATTATTTTAGGACATGACCTCTGAAATATTTGTTTAACATATGAATGATTCATGGATTGAGTTTATCTTATATAATATATAGTTATATATATATATATATATATATCATATATTATATATATATAATCAAAACTTATTCACCAATTTGAATGGATTTTGAAAGAATGATGTTCACCCTTGAAACTGAAGGAACATTCTCTCTCATCATTTCATTTGGAAAGATTCAGGACTGACACAAAACAATTTTAACCTGTTCTCTTTTTAGTGAATTAAATTAAAAGTGTGTAATTTTACGACAAACGTGTCAAGATTAAACGTCATATTGAAAACCATTTAGAGTCAATTTTGTTCATTTTTTAGATATTAAACTGTTCTGGGATGGATAATTACCTGTTACACTATACCAGACAATTTTGGATTGGTTGGTAAAAAATGGCATGAGTAAAAAATCCAACGGAAAAAGTTCTGGATAAAAGTTGAAATGCAAAATGGATAAATAGGAAAAAATCTTCCTGTTGTGAGAAGGATCCTCACCCAGTTTCTAGTTCTAAAATGTTCCCCAAAATATTTTAAAATAAAATTTTTAAATAATCACCAGATAAGTTTAGCTTTGACGGTTGTTTTAAATAGGGAGTTTTCCTAGTATTAAAAACATGGAAGATTTTAGGTTATCCCATTTACAGATTTCTATATTGACTCAATTACTGAAGGTAAATTATGAAGGATCATTTCTCCTCTCATCATTGCTCATTTGGAAAGAGGCCCGTAGGACTGACACAAAACAATTTTAACCTGTTCTCTTTTTAGCTGAATTAAATTAAAGTGTGTAATTCTTACGACAAATAGTGTCAAGATGGCTAAACGTCATATCTGAAAACCTGGAAAAGCTGGAAACTCAATTAGTTTAGTGTGGATTTTTTAGCCGGATAGACATGTTCTGGGATGGATAATTATGCTGTTACACTATTTAGCCGGACAATTTTGCTGTTACAGCCGGAAATGGTGCAGGGTGCTGGTAAAAATGGCAGAAAAAAAAAAATGGCAACGGTAAAAAATGGCAAAAGTGGATAAATAGGAAAAAATGGCAAAAGTGGATAAATAGGAAAAAATGGCAATTCGACAACAGAAAATTATGACCGTTCGAGAAGGATGGGTCTAAGCTCCCATCTCTCTAGTTTAAAATAGGGCTAAGTTCCCCACTCAATATTTTAAAATAAATATTTTTAAATAGATATTTACTCTAGTTTAGCTAGGCTCCTTCTCTTCTTGTTTTAAATAGGGGCTAAGTTCCCGTTCCTAGTATTAAAAACATTTTTTTTTAATTTTCGATGCCGATTTTAGGTTAGGAATCCCATTTACAGATTTCGTATTGACTCAGAGTCTAATTTAATTATTTTATTGGTAAATTATGGTACGTGCGAAGTAAATATTCTAGAGTTCACTTAGCCAATTTTTGAATTTTGTTCACACCTATTTGCTAAATGTCTATATGACGCTCCTCTCAGAGACTTCTCACTTGAGTATTAAAAGATTGAAAACGCATCAGACAAGATTTTAAATTTTACTGGCACCAGTCTGACCTTATCGTTGTCTGATAGCCTCTGACATAATTAATGTTTTATTGCAGCATTTTTTTTCGGTTTCATCAAGTGGATCTATAATTGTTTTTTCCCAAAGTTTTTCAGTGTGTTCAGACGTAATTTTTATAAAAAGTAAAATCTCATGGGAGGGGGGGCTTTAGCATTGAATATTCTTTTTAATTTGACAATATATTCGTTCTGTCGTCCATTTTTTCCATTATGCATTGTATCCTAGATTTTAATAAACCATTGTGAGATATTCATTTATACCTATTTTTTTTTTCCTTTTGCCAAGATTTTAAATTTTACTGGCACCAGTCTGACCTTATCGTTTTTTTATTTAACCACCAAAGTTTTTCAGTGTGTTCAGACGTAATTAAAAAGTAAAATCTCATGGGATTTTTTTTAGTTGAATATTCTTTTTAATTTGAAAAAACTTCTCATTTTTTCCATTATGCATTGCCATTTTTAAACTCATTGTGAGATATTCATTTATATTTTTTTCCTTTTGCCATTTTTACATTTTTTACCGTTGCCAATTTTACTGCTGCCATTTTTACCTAAATTCACCCGATATATAGGTACACGCATTTTTTTTTTTAATTAGAACTGAGCAGTTTGTAACAGGGGATTTATATACGACTGTGTGTTCAACAGGCTGACTTGAACCCTCTTCTATCTCAAGCAGAGATCTGATTGTAAAATATATTATCAGAATTAATTTAATATATGTTCAACTCTGACTCAGTCTTTAGATCCAACGACGGATCAGTTTGTGATAGATAAACTATGCAAATAGTAATATTTGTTCAAATGTGTGATCACATTTTTCTTTCGTACACCTATAGATTGAAAATCTTGTATCAAACTATCAATAAAAAAAATGTCTGTTCCACGCGAAGGAATGACAAGTTTAGAACAGAAAAACAGTGTCAATACGAATCACTCTTCCATTGTCTAAACCTCCTTTTCTTTTCTTTTTTCTTTCTTTGAGCCAAGGATTGATATGTTTGTGGCACTGTCACAATTCCCATTAATTTTATATTTTTACTTAATTAACTTTGACAAAATGGTATCCAATAAACATATTAATAAAAAAAAAATGTTGTGAACACAGGCTTACACATTGCAGGGACAGGTGGGATGGTCTGGAAGGGCGGTTTTCAAAGCCGTGGAAGATTTTTTTTTAAGGAACGCCGCGACATGAATGTACAAGCAGAGATGCTAGCGTTGTTAACTGGCAGACCCCCTACAGATCGTTGTAAAAACGTACACCGCCCCCAAACAACAAAGGGAAAAATCAGTACGAGGGTGTGGGGTGGGGCTAAAGAGAAAGAAAGAGAGAAAAGAAACTCGCGAAAGGGAGAAAGAAGAAAAAACAAGTTAAAATGCGAAGACGGAAGAACATAAATACAATATTTTCAGGTATGCCAGCAACTAGCTGAGGAGTAATGGTTAGCAAGCTTAACAGACCACTACTACACTTGTGAGGTTGATACTCACCGAGTGCTTTGTCTTTATAGAATAAGCGAAGATTATTAAAAAGTTTAAAGCCTCTAACGGAGCGTTTTGTTTTAAAAAATATTAATTTTGCAGAACATCACTGTTGTGTAGCAAGAGTGGTTCTCACTGGCTGCCAAGTACATATGACCTTGTGCCAGACTAAGCTGGACTTGATAGAAGATGGTGAGGAACGGGATTGAGAAAAAGAAGAAAAATGAAAACGTTAATAATAATAGAAGAAGAAGAGGCGGAAGAGAAGAGGAGAAGGAGGAGGAGGAAGAGGAAGAGAAGGAAGAAAACTATCATGACGACGACGATGACGAAGAAGAAGAAGAAGAAGAAGAAGAAGAAGAAGAAGAAGAAGAAGACGACGAAGAGGAAGAAGAAGAAGAAGAAATGGGGGGGAAGATGACAGAGGATTGAGACGGGAGGACTGAGAAAAAAAGGAACGCGCGAAAAACAGAAGGATGATTAAGAAAGAAGAGGAGTAGGAGAAAAAGAATAAAGAGTAGTGGGAGGAGAGGGGGTGGGAAATCTGAAGGTTTCAGAATTCAGAAATATTGGGGAGGGAGAAGATGCGATAAGCAGAAGCATGTATGAGATTGAAGGAAAAGATATTGGATAGACTTATAGATAGATAGATAGATAGATAGATAGATAGATAGATAGATAGATAGATCAGAATAAACTGGATAGATAGATAGATAGATAGATAGATAGATAAGAACAGGATTGACAGAAAGAGAGAGAGAGATTGAGATAGAAGAAAGAACAAAATGAGAAAGAAATAGATGAAAGAAGAAGAAGCAAAGATAGATAGATAGATAGATAGATAGATAGATAGATAGATAGATAGATAGATTGAAGTTTCTGAGTTGAAGTAATTAAAAAGAGATTGGACGGATAAAGTGCGAATTTCGTTCGAGTCTCTGTATGTATATTTCAAACTCACATTATTGGGGAAAGTCTTAAACCCACTTCTCCCTGCGCTCTGTCTCGTCACTCCTCTGTAAATACCTTTCCAGGCCTTTCCTTCTCAATTTTACTCGCGTTACAACTCTGAGTTCTACTTTCACTAAACCTCTTCAAGAAGTGACTTCAGGATGTCGAAGATGAAAGAACCTAAACGAGGAAAATGAAAGAATGAAGAAGCCAACGAACAGGAAGGAATGGGACAAGTTACAAAATAGGAAATAGAAGAAAGGAATGAAGAATAAAAACAAAGAGAGGAAAAGTAGGAAATTTGAAAAGGAAAATGCCGAAAGGTGGGGGTGACTTGAAGAAGATAAAGAAAAAGGGTAAGACGGAAAAATGTGAATAAAAAAAATCTATAGGACGAAGAAAAACATGAAAGCAAATAATATGACTGAAGAAACAAAGTAAATAAAATTGGAATAATTTTTTAAAAAAAGCACAAAAAATGTTTTAACCAAAAAAAGAAAATGGACGAAGCGAGGAAGAACAAAAAAGAAATCGAATAGAATGAAAAACAAAAGTGGTATCCAAGAAGAATAAGAAAAAAGATCCAAAGTAAAAGAAAAGGCATGAACTAAAAAGAATGACAAAGAAAAAGAGCAGATTAGACGTCTAAAGAAAAATGAATGAAAAAATGTCCAACAAAAAGAAAGAAAAATGATGAAGAAAAAGAAATCCAAAAACGAATGCCAAAGAAGAAAATAAAGAAAGAACAGTAAAGAAGTCTAAGAGAAAGAAGAAAAAATTAGTAAAATACGAATAAAAAGAAAACAAGTTCAATTAAAAAGAGGTCGAAGCAAAATAAGCGAACAATGTAGTAGAAAGAAAAACGAATAAAATGTTTTAAAAGAAAAGAAAAATATCGAAGAAGAGAAAAATAAACAATGAAGTCAAATAAAAAGAATAAGAAAGTTGAAATAAAAAGAAAAGAAAGAACAAATATGAAACAAAAGAATAAATGAGTTGAAGAAAGAAAGAGGCCGAAGAGAAAAGAAAGAAACAAAAATGAAATAAAATAAAAGCATAAAAAAGTATACTTCCAAAGAAAAAGAAAAAGAAAGGAAGTCGAAGAGAAAGAACGAAAATGAGGCAGAAAAAAAAGAGTCTAAGCAGAAAGAAATGAACAAAAAAAAAGTTAAAAAGAGAAGACGTAGAAAGAAAATATGTTCAAAACAAAAAGAAAAAAAAAAGCCTAATGTGAGAAACTGAACGAAAATGAGGTCCAAAGCAAAGAAGAAAAAATGATCAGCAAAAAGAAGTTCAAGAGAAAAAGAAAGACGGTTCAAAAAAAGAAAAAGAAGATAGAAAAAGAAGATAGAAAAAGAAAGACCTCCCACCATCACCAAAAAAGAAAAAAAAGAGAAAACCTAAGAAAAGGGTGATCGAATGAAGAGAACGATAAAAATAATACATGATGAAAAAAAACCTAAAATTAAACGTAAAAGAAAAATACAGTGTAACCCGGATATAAGAGAAATCCGGATATAAGAGAGATTTTCTCTGGTCCCAAATTAGAGCCTGTATTAATGTATATAAAATAGACCAAACTCGGATATAAGAGAAACCCGGATATAAGAGACTTTTTCTCCGGTCACGACAACTCTCTTATATCCAGGTTACACTGTAATTATTTATTGTTGAAACAGTGTAACCCGGATATAAGAGAAACCCGGATATAAGAGAGATTTTCTCTGGTCCCAAATTAGAGCCTGTGTTAATGTATATAAAATAGACCAAACCCGGATATAAGAGAAACCCGGATATAAGAGACTTCTTCTCCGGTCCCGACAACTCTCTTATATCCGGGTGACACTGTATGTGTAAACGTTGAAGAAAACAAGACGAAGAAATAAAATTAAACAGAAAAAAAAGAAGAAAAAAAAAAGATGTCGATTCGTGAAGGATGAAGGAAATGAATGGCGACTCCTGTTAATAATAATGGTGGGGGAAAAAAAGAATAAAACGTAAGGAAGAAACGGAACAGTCCTGATATGAACGGGCAAGACGCCGAGTAAAAGCAGCAGCAGCAGCAGCTTGCAAAAGATGTATTGGTCGGGAGGAGACGGACGATAAAAACTCTGAAGTGGTATGGGCACCTGAAGTAGACAGGTCTGTTAGCGTCGTTTGCGGCGCGTCCTACAAATATTTGTTGGACGGCTTAAAGAATAAAAACCTGTCCGACAAAGGAGGAGTCGTCACAGGAGAAGAGGCCGGGTGCATACGATTGGTGAAGAATTGAATCGGTGGCTAAGTGGGTGGGGTCACGTTGTGTGGGTCTGCCGCGAGGAAAGAAGAAAAGATGTTGAAATGGTGATTAAGAGACAGATTGGATTGTGTTAAGATGGAGGCGAGAGAAGAAGAAAGATAAAAAAATATATATATGATTAGATGAGAAAAGCAACACTGAAGAAAGAAAAGGTCGTCAATGAATGGAAATCGAGGAGGAGAGGAAGACTAAGTGGAGGGAGAAAAGGAGAAAGGATTGTTGAAACTCAAGATGTTGAAATAAGCCGTGTAGAAGAAGAAGAAGAAGAAGAAGAAGAAGAAAAGAAGAAAAAGAAGGCAACAAAAGATGGGCTGAAAGAAATGATGAAGAGGAAGGAAACAACAGAAAGTAAAATAAAAGAAGAAAAGAAGAAACCAAATCAATAGGAGGAGGAAAAGAAGAAAAAAGAGGTACAGTGTAACCCGGATGTAAGAGACCCGGATATAAGAGAAACCCGGATATAAGAGAGATTTTCTCTGGTCCTAAATTAGAGCCTGTGTTAATGTATATAAAATAGACCAAACCCGGATATAAGAGAAACCCGGATATAAGAGACTTCTTCTCCGGTTCCGACAACTCTCTTATATCCGGGTTACACTGTAGTAGAGATTGAGAATACAAAGAAGAGAATAACAAATATGGAAAGGAATAAGAAAAGAATAAAAAAAAGAGGAGACAAGAAAAAGGAAGAAAGGACATAAAAATTGATAAAAGGAAGAAAACGACATGTTAATAATAATAATAATAATAATAATAATAATAATAATTGGTCCGTCCTGGGAATGACGATAAACTACATCCGCGTCCTGGGTAAGACGATAAACTACGTCCTGCAGCAAGGCCTCTGATCAGGAGCTTTTGAGGAGTGTGGAACCACCTCTTAATTGCTGGTGTTCCCAGGTCTACCCTGACCCGGGGCGGTAGCACCTGTTAGGTTCCCTGCTATGGGCAAATGGTTAACCCCCTATAAGTGGGGTCAAAACACTATGTAAGTGTTAAAATAGGTTTTAATACCAGAAATAATTTTTTTTACCAGCAATAGATTTTTGAAAACAAAAAAAATTTTTTTTTACTAACAATAAAAATCTTGTCGGCATTAAATAACCCATTGAGGTTGATTTGCCGTACGACAAACCAAACCAAACCAAACCAAACCAAAAATTGGTTTCGAGAAATTTAAATCTTTGAGAATGATTGTATTAAATGTAAAAAATTAACTGGATAGTAAATAAATAAATACCAAAAGAAAGAGAGAAAAGAAGAGGAAGAAAAAAGAAAGAAAGAAAAAGAGAGAGAGAGAGAGAGAGAAAGAGAGAGAGAAGAGAGAAGAGAGAGAAAGAGAAATAAAAAAAGAAAAACGAAAGAAAGAAGAAAAGAAATAAAGAAGGAAAAAGAATGAAGAGAATGAACCAAAAAGGATTCTCCCTCGTATTTATTTTTTATTGGTTGGGGGCGGTGGAAAGGAAGAAAGTAAAAGAGAAAAGTGGAAAAAAGAAAGAATGAAAAAAAGAACGAGAAAGTGGAGAAATGTGGCATGCAGTCTATTGAAAAATAAGGAAAAAAAAAAACAAGGAGAAGAAAGAGAAAGTTAAGTATAAAATGGAAATAATGAAATCGCAAAGAGAAATATAAGACAGAAGAGGATCAAATAAAAAAAAAAAAACGAAAATGAACCAGTCTAAAAAATGACGAAAATAAAGAAAAGAAGGAAAGGAAATTTGAAGAAATAAAGAAAATATTGGAAACGGGATAGAGAAGCGGAAAAGGGAAAGAAAGAAAGAAAAGAAAGAAAGAAAGAAAGAAAAAGAAAGAAAGAAAGAAAGAAGAGTGAGAAATGATAGAAAGAAAGAAAGGAGAGTGAGAAACGAAAAAAGAAAGAAGGGAGAGTCAGAAGAGAAAGAAGCGAAGGAGGTAGAGGGAGAAAAGAAAGAAAGAAAGAAAGAAAGAAAGAAAGAAAGAAAGATAGAAGTGAGAGAGAGGGAGAAATGAAAGAAAAAGGAGAGAAAGAGTCAAGGAAAAGGAGTCTGAAGAAAGAACAAAGCTGAGAAAAACAAAAAAAAAAAAAAGAAAAAGAAAAGAAAAGAGAAAAAAGATAAAGGAAAAGAAACATAGAATAAGTCAAAGTTTGATCAAAAATAAATATGAAAAATGTCGAGGAAAGTCTTATGTGGATAAATTCCAAAGGCAAAAAATGTCGATGAGAAAATAAAGAGGTGGGGAAAATAGGAAATTAGGTGAAAGAAGAAGAAGGAGGAGGAGAAGGAGAAGGGGGAGGAGGATGAGCAGAAGGGGGAGGAGGATGAGCAGAAGGGGGAGGAGGAGGAGGGGAGGAGGAGAAGGGGAGGAGGAGAAGGGGAGGAGGATGGAGAAGGGAGGAGGGAGGAGGAGAAGGGGGAGGAGGAGGAGGAGGAGGAGGAGGGGGAGGAGGAGGAGGAGGAGCAATGAACATTGGGAAACGAAGACGTTGTTTTTTTTTTGAACCTGAAAGAAAACAAAATAAAATTAATAATCTAAAAGTTGCCGAGGAAGAGAAATGTGAGAAGATTGGAAATTCCGTTTTTACATTTTCGATGTTTTTCTCATTTAAGAGACAAAATGAAAAATAAACACGGTTTTAAAGAGGAGTGAAACTGAAGAGGCATGAGGAGACAAATAAAACTAAAATAAAGAGAGAAAAATGAAGTAAGCGAGCAAAAAAGAAGAAAAAAGACAATGAGAGAGGGAGAGAGAAATAAAAGACAAAAAAGAAAGGAAAATAACAATGAAAAAGGGACGATAAATAGAAAGAAAAAGAAAAGTAAAAGAAGACAAAAAGAAAAGAAAGAAGATGAAAAAGAACAAAAAATTTGAAAAAAAAAGATGTAGGAAAAGGAGAATCGAAACATGATAAACAATGACGAAAAGAAAAGAAAGAAGAAAAGGAAAGAAGATAAACAATGATGAAAATAAAGAAGAAAAAGAAAGAAGAAAAAGAAGAGGAAAGAAGAAAAACATTGATGAAAAGAAAAGAAATAAGGAATATCTAAGAAAAGAAAGATGAACGAGAAAGAAAAGAAAAAAGGAAAGAATATAAAAGGAGAGAAAAAATGACGATAAGAAAAGTGAAAAAGAAAGAAGCAAAAGAAAAAAATGAAAGAAAATGAAAAATGATGAAAAGAAAAGAAAGTAGGTAAAGAAACAAGCATACGAAAAAGAAGGAATGAAAAGAAAAAATGAAAACAGATGAAAAAATATAGATAGCATGAAAAAAGATAGAAGCAGAAAAAGAACATGTAAAAAGCAAAGATGAAAAATGACGAAAAGGAAGGAGAGAAACAGAAGAAAAGAAAGATGAAAAACGATGAAAAGAAAAAAGGAGTAGAAAAGAAAGATGAAAAACGATGAATAGGAACAGAATAAAGGAAAGATGAAAACCGGTGAAAAGAATCAAGCAAAGAAAGAAGAAAAACGATGGAAATAAACAGTAGAAAATAAAGATGAAAAGAAACAGAAGAAAGGAAAGATGAAAAACGTTGAAAATAAACAGTAGAAAAGAAAGATGAAAAACGATGAATAGAAAAACAGAAGAAAAGAAAGATTAAAAATGATGAAAAGAAATGATAGAAAAGAAAGATGAAAAACGATGAAAAGAAACAGTAGAAAAGAAAGATGAAAAACGATGAAAAGTAAAGAAACAGAATAAAGAATCATGAAAAACGATGAAAAGAAACAGTAGAGAAGAAAGATGAAAAACGATGAAAAGAAACAGTAGAAAAGAAAGATGAAAAACGATGAAAAGAAACAGTAGAAAAGAAAGATGAAAAACGATGAAAAGAAACAGAAGAAAAGAAAGATGAAAAACGATGAAAAGCAAAGAAACAGAAGAAAAGAAAGATGAAAAGCGGCGACGAAGAAAGAATGAAATCCTAGAAAAGAAAGGAAATGCAAAAATAACGAACAGGAAAGAAAGAAATTAAAAAAAGAAAAATGATGTAGCGTGACGAAAATTTAAAGAAAGAAAGTGAAAAAAGAATAAAAGCCTAAAAAAGAAGAAAGATTGATAAAAAAAATGAGGAAAAGTAAAAAGTAACTGGAAAAAGAAGAGGAAAGAAAAGAAATAAAAAAAAAAAACCCCAAAAAACGAGATAAATCTCAAGAGATTTAAAACTTAACGAGAACATACTTAAATGTTATTAGCCAAACATGTGAAGGGTCAGAAGCGCCCGTCTCTTCGACCCGACCTTACCTCTTATTTATTTTTTTTGTTTGTTTTTGGCTGCTGACGAAGGTCACGTGAGGTGATGACGACACCATGCGCGTATTGATTTCCATAAACACGGTGTTGTGTCAAGAGCAGATACGGGTGAAAAAGATAGGCGGGTGATTTTGAAAGAGACGGAGAAAATTGAACTTTTTACTTGCAGCAGACGAACCAAAAGATCACCGGAAGCTGGGAGTCAACACATAAACCAGAAGACATGAGACAACGAGCACACGCACTCCGGTGAGGTCCTGATCCTGGCACCTTTAAAACAGGCAATAGAGAACTTGAACGCTACGCTGTGAAGCAACATCGAGTGAGTGCATGACAGAAAAGAAATATTTCCTTGTCGACTATCTCGGGGGAATGAGGACCAGTATTCACCTTTATACCTTGTGCCATATGTATTGTATTTAAATCATTAATAACTATTACAAATAAAAATTGTAACATGGGCTCTGGTAAATAAAAAAAGGCTACTGAGACATTAGAGTTATAAATCTCCAAAATTGACTCACTAAGGATACATGGCTCAGCGGATTAAAGCTTAATCCAAAAGTTACGAGTTCCATATTTGTCCAAGGTAGAGGTGAACAAAAACTTGGAGAAAAATGGTTACTGCGATCCCCAAAATTGCCGAAAATTAAGGGAATTAACTGAAAACTTAGATATCTATGAAAGTCACGGCACGTGGAACTAGAATAATTTAACTCAGTGGAAAAAAGGGTTCGGTTCCAGCGTATATCACCTGAAGAAGGCCGGAGCGTATAACGGCCGAAACGTCTTGAATAATGACAATAAAGTCCGAACAATGTAAACAGTGTAAATATTTACAATAGCTCATGTCAGAAATATAAACAGATAATAAATATTTGTGAATGTGTTTAGCGGCAACCTTGAAACCGGAAGTGATGTAAAGGCATTGCTTTGCGAAGCTGTTATTCGATCAAACCCCCTCTTCACTAAACTGCGTGCATCTATTCTATGTTAGCCGAAAATCTTTCAAGTCTTAATTCTTAAAAATTCAACGAGGGTTTAATCTGTAGTTTCCACGTTGATTACTTCTGTAGCACTCTTATTAACAAGCCGTTGTGCTTTTTCGACTGTCATTTATTTTTCATTTTAAACGGCCATCCTTTAGCTGTGCAGTACGAATATTTCAACACCGGCTAACGAAATGACACAGTGGATAAAGGCGTTATTTAGATCCAGTGACAGGACCCAAAGAGTGTGAATTCAATACCTGGTTAAGGCGGTGGAGAACTTTCAGAGGGGAATCAACAGGTAACTGACATCCATTAGACATGGCACGTGGAAGTAGAACAGTCTGCCCCAGTGAGCGAAATCAAAGGTTCAGTTCGACATCCCAACCACCTGAAGAAGGCCGGAGCGTACAACGGCCGAAACGTTGTGAAAAACATGGCGAAAAAGATGAGGACAATAGTCCGAATAATGTAAATAGTGTAAAAAAAAGGACTTTGCTAAAATATTTCTACAAGGCTACATATACAGTTTATTAATAGGACCGTCTCGGTCATTATCAAGAACCATGTGCTTTCTGTGTGGTACGCAAGATGTTTTTGGTTACATAACAGAAAGAACTTGACGGTTGAATTTAATACAACTTGTTAAGTGGAGAGAACTGATGTGATTTTACGAGTATGGATTTTGTTTTCAGCAACAGCATTTTGTAACTTTGTGATAACGTTGGGAAGGAGCAGTCAGTTTGGCGTCAGGGTATTAGTTGATTGCAACGTTACGTTAGCGCCTCAACGTCGCATATAACCCTCCATATACAAAATACAAGGTACCTGCGACTTTGCAAGAATATTCTGTGTTACCTAGACCAAAGCCTTTGTTAGCTGAACTATAGTGACCTTCATGAGAGTAGAAATATGATGGAAACGACCTAACAACCCCGGAGTTCTACTTGTGATTATGTTTGACTTTTTATAGTCTTGTTTAGTTTTCAATGCGTCTGTGTCACTACAGAATGTGAAACAAAGTGGGTTTAAAGTGGACCGATTTTCTAAGCGTCAATACACAAGGCCGAATGTGTGGAGCGCCCACTGGGGATCGAACTCACAACTCAGTTATTAATGGTCGGAACAGAATCTAAAAAGTACTGTATCATTATTCTATTGTTAAAATGCTGAATTCTTGGAAGAGATCAGCTAATCAGAAAACGGATAATCCCGAATATCGTTAATAAAATGAGTTGTCTATATAACATATTAGGTTGTTGCAAAAATAATGACGTAATAATGTCGTTTTTGACGTAACGTCAAAAAACGACATTATTACGTCATTATTTTTGCACCAACCTAATACTAAACAATTACAAAGTATCAATTGAGGCTATGAGACAGTTCGGAAAATACATTTTGGGCGAAAATACAGTTTTGATCGATATACTTATCTTAGGAAAAACACATGTTAGGTACTAAAAAATATTGTGTAAATCTAACACTGAAAACATTAAATGCTCTTCTATATAACAAAAGCGATTGTCAGTGTGTCACTATGTCACACTTTTTCAACTTTACTCCCAGAAGCAGAAACCCAACATATCATACCATTTTGGAATCAGGCAGACCCCGTGAACAAATTAAAAACATTCCGGACAAGATCCGGACCCTTAATCCTGAAATTTTGGTATCCCAATTTTTCATCGCTGCGATTGTTTTTGGAATCCGCCATATTAGCTTCTACTGATAAAAAAATTAAAGGGACACAACTCTCTAACTTTCAATAGCTCATGTTCAAATAAAAAAATACTGTATTTAAATTCAAGTGTTTCAAATTAAAAATTGTCCATGTTTTCAATTTTATTCCTAGATGCCATAGCCCATCATATCATACCATTTTGGAATCAGGACGACTCTGTGATCAAATTAAAACCATTTCGGACCCACAATCCTGAAATTTTATATTCCCAAATTTTCATTACTGCGATTGTTTTCGGCCAGTTTTTTTTATGTGCCTTTTTGCGACGAATTTTTTGTTCGATAATAATTTTTATATCTTCGAAATAAATTTGGGAATAATCAAAATTAATTGCGAAATCCAGCGAAAATCACCCATGAAATAAAAATAATTGTTGGTACAGGAAGTAAGAACCTACGTACATCAAGTAGTTTTTAAATTAAATGGCGGCAGAAGAATTATCGTTGAACTTTTAAAAGGTAAGCTTAAATATGAATGCAATACTTAAATACAGCGATCAATTTTGAGATCTGTAGCTTATTGTTGCCTATCGAATCGACTCCACCCTAACTATTGTGATGAAAGCTCAAGTAAGAGCACACCGTAGGAACTAGCTTATATGCTGCACGATAGGGTGTCTTTTAAGCTAAGTCCCGATGTAAAGGTATGAAATTTAAAAGATCGAGTGTTGAGCGTATTTTATGTGTGTGAAACATGCAAAATCTTCGGTGCTGTAAGCTTTGATATGCAGATTGATGTAATGGATAATGGCTCGGGATTGTTAAACGGAATGGCGAGTTCAAATTCCAGTTAGGGGCGTTATATTCACTTTTTTTTAAAGCATTTCACGCCAAGCAAGGCGGGAAGCCACTAGCACGCAAGGGGTTATAGAGAATTTGGAGCGAGAGCAGGTAGGAATGATAGAGGAAAGGATGAGGAGAAGGATAGTGTGTGACGTCCCTGAACACAGCCTTCGCTCGCTCCTCGCTGCTTCGTTCGGGTGTCGCCGCTCCAAACGTGACGTCCGCCTGTCGCGTCAGTCGTGTTGTCTCGTACTGTGACAACCAACTGGCTTGGTATCGGTCGCGACACCCAAATGTGACGTTCTAACCTTTTGGTGATTCGGATGGGAATCTGGTTAGATTCGATATCAGCCTCGTCGTTCCCATTTCGAACTGAACTGGTAAAAATGATGCTGAAAACATTAGGTTTATAATACTCAGAAGTTCATACCCATCCTCAAGGACACATGGCACAGCGGATAAAGGCATTGGTTAGATCCAGTGACAGACCCAAAGAAGGTGAGTTCAATACCTGGTTAAGGCAGTGGAGAACTTTCAGAGCGAAAATTAGCAGGAGATAACTGATATCCATCAAAACATGGCACGTGGAACTAGAAGAGTCTACCACAGTGATCGAAATAAAGGGTTCAGTTCGAAATTCCAACCACCTGAAGAAGGCCGGAGAGTACAACGGCTGAAACGTTGTGACAAATAGGGCGACAAAGATGAGGACAATAGTCCAACTAATGTAAATACTCTACTCTTTTTTATTTTTTCAATAATTTCACTCCAAGCAAGGCGATAATGCCCCTAAGAAGCAAAGGTTTACTAGGAGTGAAAGATGAAGAGATGTCTTTAGTGAGGAGAAAGAACAATAAAAGAAGGTTTCGGAAAACAGGAGACGATTGGAGTTTTATTCGATTTTTGAAAATCGTAGGTGACAGGGAATCAAAAATTCGGAAGGGTGGTTCCACAGGTGAGAAGAGCGAGAAAAGAAACTATTTGACTTATGGATACATCTAGCTAGTTCAACAGTAAAATGGTGAGACTTAGATGCCAATTCTTAAAATGATGCAGTCGAGATTACATTAATGACCAGTTAAACAAATAGGAAAACTATGAAAAAATTGCAATCGGTACTGCTGGTAGATATTTATTCTTGTAAAATCTAAACAATAAGTTCTAAATATCACCAACTATTTTAGTAAACTAACCTTCAAAAATAGTCTTATTGACATTCACAGAAGCACACAGCGGTGGAAAATTTAATTTCATAGACTGAAGTCAGGGGAGGCAGAGGGCGAACCCCCACAGTTTTGCCATTTTAATTAATCCGGTTAGAGTGACTGTGTGGGTGTTGATGGCGTCCTAATAGAACATCAAAGAGCTCGGCCCGCTGTGTAGGATACTACAACGGCTGAGTCGCTACAGCGACCCACCCGCCGGCCTCAGAGCCGCTGCCGCCCCAAAGCCGCAGGGGTGGTCGCTAAGCTTATTTTTAAGCATCCTGCAAGACTTGAAGTCTTGTCATAATGGTGCCACTTTTCTTGATTCATTTGTCCGGGCGGGATAAAAAAGATTAA